ACTCTGGGCAGTGTACAACAAAGCTAAAAACAGTCAATAAATACATTAAAAATATAAAAAGTAAAATAAAACAAGAATAAAAGGATGTTAAAAATAAGGGAGTCACCTCACTAATTCCCCCATAAGCAATATTCCCTTCCTTCAGCTTTGTTATTTTAGTTTAAACAAAATCTATTAAAATGGATCTTAGAATCCATTTTCAGTTAAGAAAAATGAACACAAGAAAAAAAATAAAGATGGGAATAAAAGCAGAAAAACCAACAAGAGATATCCTTTTTCCTGTTTCATAAACTCAGAAAATGTTTTAAATTTCTTTATATCTCTCTTGTTATTTTTGTCACTTCTTCCTTGGCTACCAGATCAATTAGCATTTAACATCCAGGGATCAATGTATAATTTGGCCTTTATTATTTATGCAATAATAATGCTTTCCTGACTGAAGCCTTTGCTGCTTCTTTATTAGAACTAGTGTAATATTTCCCAATGTCAGCATTCTGCAGGCTTACTGTCATTATAGTTTAGTGTTCAGCTTAATTAATTTTTTGAAATTCAACAGTTACTGGACAGCTCTAATATGTACGTTTCAAAGTTTTTCTATATGTCCCAACTTACAATTTGAGTTAATCCTCGGTCCTTGATTAAGATAATCATTGTCCTCTACAGCAATTAGTGTAGCATTTTATGCTCAATTAAGAATTAAAGGACAGTTTATGTCATCCAGAATGTTTGAACACTTCAATTCTATTATATATTCCACTCTGTATCAAATGTTGTTTAATTTGAAAATATCATCTACTTGAGTTACAACCATTCATTCAGTGACCGTTTGAAGTTACAGTGGCACTGGACGAATAGTACTTATGCCTGGTCCCCGAAGTTACGGCCGTTGCATCACCCCCGTGGTCACATGATCAAAATTCAGGCACTTGACAGCCTACCTGCACTTATGACTGCAGGGGCTCTTCAACTTCCCCCAACCACCTGTCTCTCCCCATCTCTACCCTTTTGGCCACCCTGCACAGCAGCACTCTTCAGTGGCAATGGTGGGGCTGAAGTAGAGGTCTGAGGCCTTCAGCAGTCTCAGCAGCCACCATTGCCATGAGCCTTAACTTTAGCCCCAGTGCTGCTACCACTGAGGAGTGTCGTCTCAAGCCCCGCACCATGGCCAGCCACCCCAGGGCCACTGTGCTCCACAGGCCCTGCCACACCAAGTTGACCTTAGCCATCTTCCTCCCGCTGCTGACGAGGCACACCCAGCCTGGCCCTATGCGAGGCAACTGCTGGCTGCGCCAGGCCTTTTTCCCAAAGCTACTCATGGTGTTCTCCCAAGAGTGCATCATGAGAATGGAATGTGCTATTTGGAGATAGGTGGGGGGCAGTTCAAGAGGGGGTGATGCTTCGGAAAGCCTTTGGACAGCTTCTGAGGCCTTCTGAAAAACATGAGAATGGCACGCCCACTGTTTTCCAAATAGCACACCCTGATGCTTCAGAAGCTTTCCAAAGGCTTTCCGAAGCATTGCGAGAACAGAGCATGCTATTTGGAGATAGGCAGGTGGGGGGAGTTCAAGAAGAGGCAGAGGTGGCAGTCCCTTACCTTACCAAGACTTGGGTCTGGGAGAGACCAAGCTAGGAATAGCTTAGATGGGTTGGGTCCTTACCTAACAACTGGTAGGATTTGGTTAACAACAACAATGGGGAGTCCTGGGATTGCCATTACTAAGTGATGTGGTCATGTGATGTTTTGTCTAATGACCACATTGCTTAGCAACAGAAATTCCAGTCCCAATTACTGTTGTAACTCGAGGACTACCTATACAGGTATGTTTTTAAGGAAGTATTTTACAGCTCTAATTTGTATTGATTTGTAGGCTAAAGATTCAAGAACAAGTTACTGCTTCTGAGGATCTAGAAAAAGAGAAAAATGAAAATGCAAATCTGAAGCAGGTAAGAAGTTGATTTATATTCTTTCACCTATTTTAATTTGTAGCAGTTCATGTGATATTAGAGGTTTTATTTCACTTCATTTTTTTTTTTTGTCTTTTTCTGTTTTGATTGCCATCTTCCATTTCAAGAATTGAAAAAGAGACTTTCTGGCCCCAAAAGCATATGAATAATTTACAAGAATCTGTAATTTATTTGGTGGTAGTATTTGGTGTTAGAAGGAATGTTGTCTCTGACACAACATCTTTTTTACTTTCATTGTCCTGGTAAATAAATGTAATATTCTTTATAGTCTTTTAAATTGTTCTCTCACACTTTCCCCATTACATGATGATGGAAATGAGGTGTGTGTTGATTTATTCCCATACTACTTGGCATTCCCTTCAGCATTCTCAGCAAGTTTACACTGAACCTGATCTTCTGCAACAGAAAAAGCATTGCATTCCCAGTTCTGCATGATATGTGCTCTAAAACCCTACAAGCAACCTCCATGATTCATTCATTTATCCTCAACAAATGGGAAGCTGCAAGGTGGGGTTTTCAACCCAATAGAGGGAAATAGATCAGTGAACGTCTAAATCTATTCTTCCTTAAAAACATAACCAACAAAGGCTCTTCCTAAATCAGGATTTTGTTTCTCACAATGGTTCACTTTGAGGTGCACACAAACAGGAGATGGAAAGTAAATTTTCTTTCAAATCCCCAATAAACTATCATGTTCCATTTCTGTTGAGCCATTTTGGACTGGCTAGGACCAGAATGAAATCTGGAGGAATCCTGGAGTGATTTTATAGCAAGGAGGGCAAGGCTTGTCTGTGTCATCTTGACTTTCCCTTCTATGTGCTTGTCTGCCTCTATTTCCCACTGCTTTTCCTCCTCTCATTCTCTGTCACTGAGAGCAGTAAGGAAAAGTCTCCCAGAACAGTATGTCCTGCTAGCCCACCCACCTCTTCCCTTCCCTCAGTTTCCTTTCCCTCAGCTGCTACTGATATCTCAGCATGTAATAGCCATCCCTGCCTCCCTGTATTCCCAGCACCTTCCCTTCTTTTCCCTCATTCCTTGCCTCCCCTCTGCCACTGCTGCTGGGGCCAATGTCCATATGCCCTGTCTTAGCCCAACCTACCTTAGAAGGTTGGTGTTGTAGGGAAAATCAGAGGAGAGGCAGGTATGTACTCCCCCACTAGAGCTCCTGAAGGAAAGCAGGATGTAAGCCTAGCAAACAAGCCCACATTCACCAAAGAAACCCTTTAGCCTTGGATTTTCCCACTGATTCCTCCCCCCTCCTGCTCAGAATAGCTACATTTCAATTTGGATTCAGAATAAAACAAATTCAGTTCATTCTATATGTAGACCAAAACATTCAAAGCACATATAGACATGGCCAAAAGTATTGGTACTCCTCCCCCACTTTTTCCCAGATAGTTCCAATTTGTCATGAAATAAGTTGAAACTGGCACAAGTAAATGGCATCTACCATTCTTTATTCCATAGTCCATAGAGCAGACACTTTGCTTTGATGTATTACTTAACATATTCTAGTAAATAATAAGAAATAAAAATGGCATAGACATAATTATTGGTGCCCCTTGGCTAATGTTTCGTTACTCTTTTGAGGAAATAACTGCAATCAAGCATTTTCTGTAACTCTGAATAAGACTTCTCAGCTGGCAATTTGTCCCACTCTTCTTGAGCAAACTGCTCCAGTTGTCTTAGGCTTGATGGGTTCCTTCTCCCAACTTGTGAGTTTCAGCTGGTTCCATAGATGTTCTTTTGGATTTAGATCAGGACTCATAGCAGGCCCCTTCAGAACAGTCCAATGTTTGCTTTTCAACCATTCTTGGATTCTCTTCGGTGTATGTTTTGAGTCATTATCCTACTGGAGGACCCATAACCTGCGACTGAGACAGAGCTTTCTAAGAATGGGCATTATGTTTCACTCCAAAATCCCTTGATAATTTCATTCTGCTCTGCACAGATTCAAGACATCTAGTGCTGGAGACAGCAAAGCAATCCCATATCATGGAGCATCCTTCATGTTTCACAGTAGGGATGGTGTTCCTTTCTTTAAAAGCATCATTTTTTTTCTTCTGTGAACATGGAGCAGCTGTGGCATACCAAAAAACTCTAATTTTGTTTTATCTGTCCAAAGGACATTCTCCCAGAACTGTGGCTTGTTAACATGCATTTGAGCATACTCCAGTCTGGCTTTTTTGTGTCTATCTTTCAGAAGTGGAGTCTTCTATCATGGAGGCCATTTTTATTTTCAACCCTTGTTCTAATGATCCCTTGAATTAACTTAGCCTTTTTCACAGCTGCTGCAAACTGAGTAGGTATCTTCATTGAACTATCCATTATACCCCAAGATTTTTTCCTGGTTATTTACAGACAGTCGAGACCCCATCAGTGTCTATGTGAAATTAGGATTTTTGCCTCAATATGCATCACTTTACACTTACTTAAACTGAACTACATTTGGTATATTGACCATTCTAAAGCAATTTTTCTGGAGCATTTCATAATCACTTTTTTTTTTTTTTAACTATCCTGCATAGCTGGTATCATCTACAAACCTGGACATAACTTATAAACACATTTAAAAGAACCAGTCTCACCACATAACCTTTACACTTCTTTCTTCCATTGATTAAGTTTCCCATTTTATTCCTACTCTTTGCTTTCTGTTTTTATTATTGTGTCTCTCAGTGTCTCCTTAATAATTCCTTCACTCAGACAAGTGTTTTTTCTGAGATTGCACAATTACTGTACTCTGTGAGCCCAGCACAGCTTGTCTAAGGCACCACTGATAGGAACAAACAATGCACCCATTCCAGATCCAAAGCACCATCCCCTCTCTGCATATAAAAAGTTGTACATCTCTAGTGGTCAGATACTGTCACCCATATTATTTCTGTGGAGAAATTTGGTATTCCAGTGTATTCTAGCATATTATTTTATTCTTCTTTGTTATAAAGACCAATACCTCCCTTAGTGCACCTTTAACCTGTTCTTTCTATGAAGTTGTAGTCAGGAATGACTATCCCATTGATTCTTTCCATTCTACCAGGTTTCCATTCTCATTTGTGGTCTCTAATTCTGCATCTTGGTTTTGAGGCTTCTAGCATTGGAATGAGCCTTTCTCACAACCTTTTTTTAAATTTGATTGCCATGTATATCCATTAACCCACTTCCAAAATTGACCTTACCTCTTGTATTATTATCCTCACTTCATCGCACTTGGCATCTTTTATCTTTTTTTTTAATGTTGTATTGATTTTATTGTAATTTCTATGTTTGATTGTTGAGAGTCAGGCAGCATACAAGTTTGATGATGGTGATGGTGATGGTGGTGATGATGATTGTTTTCTGAAATGTCTATACCTTTTTGAACTGGTTGGTGCCCATCACCTGTCAGCTTTTCCTCAGAGACAAGTTTAAAAGCTGTTCTGCCACTTTTTTGATGTCAGCATCAGAGCTGAAAGATGATAACCAGCACTTTAAGTTTCACCTGAAATATACTGGAAGCCAATGCAGCTCATGCAACAATGTTGTTGCACAGATAAACTTTGGAGCACCCAAAAGTGCATGCATTGCATCATTTTGAACCAGTTAAAGCTTCCAAATGTTCTTCAAAGAAAGACCCATCTAGAGCACCTCTGAAGACCATTTGCTGGGAGACTAGTATGCTTCCTTGTGCAGTTACTTGGCTACTGTAAGAATAGACTGCTGGGGGTTTGATCCAGCAGGCCACTGCTTATGAGTGACAGTAAGCAGAATCTTCTGTACAGGAACAGGGACAACTGGCACACAAGACAAATCTGTGCAAAGGCTCCCCTGGTCACATCTTCCACCTGCCCTTTGAGTAAGAGCCATGAATCTATGAGGACCCCAAATTGTGTACCAAATCTGTCTGGGGAATGCTCCATATTGTTTCTCTTTTTGATGTTTGTTTCTGGAGATGGGAAGTCAGGATTCTCCTCCCACTGTTTTCTTCTCTACTAAATTCCTCTGTTTTTGATTCCCGCAGCACAAATTCCCCTGTTCCTATTTGCTCTCTCATTCTCTTGCTGTGGTTGCGAGCTTTCAATTGACTTCACATAATGAGAAATGTATGAGGGGAAGGATACCTAAATAGGCCTCATCTATCACTCTAATCTCATTTTTAAATGAGCCATATTTTATGGTGATGAATTGTAGTTTGTGGGTTTGATGAAGTACTTCTGCCTTACTGCCACTCAATTCTTTTAGCTAATTCTGAGTTCAAAAGTTAGGGAAAGAATAATTTCTTCATGAGATTTTTTTTACATTTAATTGTATTATTATCTTTATAGAGCAGCATGAATTTTTAATATTGAACTACTCATTCTCTGCACTCTGAATTTGAGCATGTAACCACTCCTCTTTCAAACAGCTGCTACTTAGAACAATGCCTTCATTTAATGACCAGATTGGCTTGGGGAAATGTAATCCTTTCATAGTCCTATACAGATATTACTCAAGCATAGACGTAAGGGAGACTGGAGAGCTGAATTGGACTTCCTAGGCCATGGATCTAATTTTTCAGAATCCCTGATCATACTTATTTCTGATACATACACATACATAGACACATTTCTGTCATATGAAAATGCATATTCAGCTGAATACCCAAAAACATTCTTTTTGAAATATCTTTATTAAAAGTACAGATTTCAAAACAGAAAAATCATGTATTAGTGGGTACATTCAGAACCATAGAAACCATATAGCTTATCCCTGCTCTAGAATTTTGATAAATGAAATTGATTACTTCATAAAATATTTCTATTACAGCAATTGCATGATCTGCAGTTTCGAGTGGCTTCACTTTCACAGTCAGAGAATGACTTATTGGATTCCAATCAGAAACTCAAAGAAACACTGGAGAGATTAAAACATGAATGTCGGAATGCACGAAGTCAAGCAGAAAGAGCTCAGTCAGATTCAGAGAAGTATGATTTCACTGTTAATGCAATGCTTCTATTGCATCTTTTTAACCAAAAAAATCAAATGACATGGAGAGTAAATTGCCCTAGACATTTAGTATTGGTTCATTTATCTGTAACATAATTTTCTCTGAGGGATTTAGAATATGTATTTATCAATCATTGTTCCAGCCCATAGAGCATCAAGCAAATCTGTATCCTTGTTTCACTTCTCTTTAATTTTTTTAATAAATATCATAGTGAGTCATTTACACACACCTTTTACATGTACACATGGAGGATTGGCAGAGAAACATTCTGCTTTATGCAAACAATGTGGTCTCTTCAGAATTCCCATAGAGCTCGGAAGACAACTGGGAGTCCTGGCAGAATATGGTGAGGTGAACCATTTGGAAATATCATAAAATTATGGCCTTTGTCAGGAGGTCAAAGACACATTCCTGACACATAAATGGGAATATCATTGAGTGGATTCCATGTTTAAAGTTTTGGGGTAGTGGTTTATGCTTCCGGTTCTAGGAAATCTGTCCAAATTGGCAGAGGAGTGCTCCACCAGTCTAACAATTTTTAAAAATCAAAATAAGGTTAATACACACAGCCCTTAAATTATTTGAAGCTAAGCTCAAGATCATCTTTGTGGAGTCCAGCTGTTTGAACAGTTTTTATAACTTTGCCCCTTTTGTGTTTGTCTAGTCCAAATTTTTAAGTGTTGTGTTTCAGTATCTTGTAATGTTTCTGATGTTGGCTTATGACTGGAAACAAGTGGAGATCATAATATATTTTATCTGTACTCTATTTTTGGCTATGATTACTGAAGGATGGCTATCCATACTCTTGGAAGTGAACTCTTTGAGTGAAACTAACATCCCTTGGGCTCTTCATTACCTGGGCTTCCAGCTGACCAGAACTCTTATTAAATAGTGTATAATGGACCGAGAACACCAAAATTACTTAACCATTTTGGGTCAGCTCAATTGAAACTCAGAACATTTTAGTTGTTCTAGGTTTCAGCAGAGACAAATTCTAAGTGGTTCTTCTTGGGAAATAGAGCAAAATTAGTATGTATCACTCCTGAGTCCCTTTTTCCTCAGCATGGCCTATGTGTCAGCCTGCCCACTGATCTCAGTGCATTCCTTGCCTGTAGTTGCTGCTGGTCCATGTAACTCTCCCCCAGTTTCCATGAGACACCACCATGCATGACTGATGTTTTTGCTTTTTTCCTGTAGTCTCCTACTCCTTGAACATTTGTATTCTAGATGCATGCACAGACCAAACACACATGTTCCAGGTCCTTGCCCAGAGAGAAAAGGTGTAGTTTGGTCTCTCTGGACCATCCAAATTTGGCTGTTCCATGCAGGGAGGATTTTGCAAAAATGCCCTTTCTCTTGGTGGTGCTCACTTTTCAGCCCTCTACTTTTGGTTCTCCCAACTGTTGTCCTCCCTTCCCCAAACATCCACCTCTTAAGATAATAATCAATTGGAAATAAGTGAATAGGCACCCAACATAAAGCTGGGACAATGAATTAAATGGACAGACTGCTGTTGACCAATCTCAACCACTGTTGAGATTGTGGTTGCTCATATAGACTGCTTTTACAAGATATTTTTAGTTTGTTAGTGGTGACTTTTTAATCACATTCAATTGTGAATCACTAAGTGTTGTAGATGAAGATGAGGCTTAATCTTTTGTCATCAGTTTTAAGACAATGGCTTGATTAAGTATTTATTATGAGCATTTATTATATTTGACAAATTGTTTCTGAAAAGAAATAAAGCAATTGAATTTTAAAACACTCATAGTGCTTTAACTGATCTATTTTATATATAGCAATATGCACAGTTGATGGCTGCACAAAGTAACTTGAGAAATTAGGCACAAAAGCATTACTATAGCTGTATGTTTCATATTTTTAAATGCATCTGAACACTTTAAACGCCTAACTTTTCTCTTAATATCTCTTGTTCTGTGCATGCAGCCTATATATAATTGTTTCAGATAAATGAATATGGAACATTTGCAGAAGCTGTTTTCTTTCCATGATGCTGAATGTCTCTATGAAGAACAGAGTATTTGTATTAAGATTCTGAAGATTCTGTGTTACTGGCAATGCTATTGTCTGATTTTGGGGAGCCTCAGGCAAGATTCTCTGATGCTTGCTTCATGCATTGCTGCCACTCTCATGGTGATTGCAGCAGCTCCTCTTCTGTCAGGCTCAGCCCAAGAACGATAATGAAACACTTCAGTCCAGTACAGTTCCTTTATTTGCTTACACCCTCTAGACAGAATGTCGCCAGAGTAACTCTACACTACAGCAATTGGTGGATATACCCCATGATATTCTAGGGAGGGGCTAGTCTCAGCCTTTTCTTCTTCTCATGGTCTTGCTGCAGACTGAGAAAGCGCTTGCCTTGTCCTCCTCTCTGGAATGCACTACCTCCCTCCTGATAGCCTTGATCTCCCATACCAGTCTTCTCCTCACAGATACCTTCCATTACATCTTCTTTTGGTCCTACAGTCACCTTGACAGTAGTAGCAATGGGTGATGGTCAAGTGAAGAGGGGCTATGAAGATAGGTTGCCTGTGTTATGCTAGCTAAGCAATAAAAACAGCAAAAAAAAAAAAGCAAAAACTCCCAGCACTCCCAAAGACATCACACTCCCACATATAAACACAATTTTTTGGATTCTAGCCTCATTGTACCCCAACTTGTGGGAAAAGCCAGCTCTTCAAGGCTTTCTGGAAACCTAGGAGTGGGGACCTGCCAGATCTTAGGTGGAAGGGGCCACTATCGAGAAGGCTTGTTGCCTCGGTCCCACTAGATAGCAACATTAATGGGAAGAGATCTATAGAGACCTTTCTGTATAGCTGGATAGAGTTTATTAATAGTTTAAAGGAGTTCTTTTAGTTTTCTGAAGCTTCTCAGCATGAAACCCTTTACAGATTGCTTTTTGCTCAGTGTTTATATTGTGGAATAAGAAACATGCTTTTTAGGGTTGTCTGGAATTATTCTTAATACCTTCAGGTGGCAAACAAGGATTGCACTCATATCTGTGGATTTACAATGTTCACTTCTCTTAAGAAGTGGAATTGATTTGTAAAGTAATTAATTTGTAAAGTATTTTCTATTTATTAAGATTATTGTATATTGTAATTTTAATTGATTTTAACTGTTTTGTAAACCGCCCAGAATTGTTTCAATGAGATGGGCGGTGACAAATTTGATAGATAGATAAATAAACAAACAAACCACTGTTTCTTCTTTCTAGGAATTTGGAAGACAAACAGGTAAAGTGGCTTGAAGAAAAACATAAACTTATTCAGCACAACACAGAGATAGAAGAGAAGTATAAAGTGACAAAAGAGAAATTGTATCGAGCAGCAGTTGCTCAGAAAAAGGCATGTTTTATATATACAGTAATTCTGAAAGAAATTCTTCCCTCTGTCTTAGTTGAATCATATTTCTGTGCCACGGTATAGCTTTCAGAATGTCCTTATCTGTGAATAATGAAATTACATCTGTTACCAAAAGTTTCTTTAAGTTCTGTGTGGCTGAGAAGCCATAATATCTAAACTTAATATAGACATAATTGTTATCTTAAACAGAAGTACACAACCTGAGGCTAATTTTAATTGGGCTAATGTGGCCTAATTCATATGAGTTACTTTGAAAACATCACGAGTTGATTTGCTAGTTACTATTTCAACCTCTCTTTCTCCTGATGAATATTTGTGATTGGATAAATTTTTGGTCAGACTGCAACTCCAGGAAATGAGTTACAAATTTAAATGTGGAGGTCAACATTTTAAAAAAATGTAAATATAACTCTCTATGTATATTCTATTAATTACAGAGAAAGACACTTAATGACAACAAGCAAAAGAAATTACTGAATAAGATAGAGCTCTTAGAAGCCAAGAGAGAAGAACTAGAAACAGAAAACCAGGTGTTAAACAGGTATAGCTTTATGTTGTTTGATCCTGAATTGCATGATGTTTCATACTGTTGCTGTTAGAAAAGGGAACATTCACTTTCTAGGTATAATCTTTGCTGTCTTATTTTAAAAGAAAGCCTTACAGCTGGCTGTATATTAGCCCACATTGGTCAAGACCACAGGCTCATTAAATTCATTTGCAGATTTCTGAAAAAAAGATGTAGAAACCTGTATGTATGTATGTATGTACTGTATGTATGTATGCTTTGTTCATGGCACTACTGTGGCCTTGAAACTGTGGTATACAGGTAGTCCTTGCTTAACGACCACAATAGGGACTGTAAAATTTGTTTTTAAATAAGTCACACCTAATTTTACAAACTTTTTGTCATTGTAGTGGTCATTAAGTGAATCACGTGGTTGCTAAGTGAATCATGTGGTCATTTAGTGGATCACGTGGTTCCCCATTGATTTTGCTTGCCAGAAGCCAGCTAGGAAGGCCACACATGGTGATCACATGACCCTGGGATGTTGCAACCATCATATATGCAAGCTGGTTGCCAAGTGCCTGGATCACGATCATGTGATCATGGGGGTGCTGCGATGGTTGTAAGTGTGAGGACTGGTTGTAAGTCCCTTTGTTCAGCACTGTTGTAACTTCAAACAGTCACTAAATGAATGGTTGTTAAGCGAGGACTACCTGTATCAGGAACTGTTTTAGAAGTGTACAAAATACTTCAAACTCAAAAGATACCTCTTCCAACTTGTCATTTCACATTCAAAATAAGCTGTTCCAACCCTCTTGGAACTGTTTTAAAGATGTTCAAGCTCTACAGGAAGCCTTTTGAGGTTGAACAGGACAATATCAATCTTGAAATATTTCTAATGGCCTTGGAACAGCCCATTTTAGACTCAAAATGTTTTTATTTTAGTGATCACAGCTAAGGGATATCAAAGGGATCTGCTTTGAAGTGATAATGTTTTGTTTTGTACATGTAAAGAAAGCAAAATTTTAAAATCTTGTGTTCGATTTGTCCATGAGCTTTTATTGATTGATTGATTGATATTTATTATAGGCAAAATATTCCTTTTGAAGAACACCTCCGCCTTCAAAAAAGACTAAAAGATCTGCAGCGGAGACATAATGAGTTCCGTAGATTGATCCTTTTTCCCAACATCCCAATACTGAACCCAACTAACTTACTATCTTCACCTTTGGTTCCTGGACCAGAAGTATCCTTCCCTCTCCTTCAAGTATGTAATATTCCCATACAGTTGCTTTTCATATAAAAGACAGCAGGTGATAGCAGTGTTTTGAAAAGCGTAAAAAATGTAGTTTGTATTTTCTAGTTTTCAGTAATAGAATGTAGATGAAACAATAATTATGGTAGTATTGAAAGGGAGGTGAGAAGTTGAACCATGCCATCAATTTCTTTTGAAAGAAATTTCCAAAATGTTTTACCACATGGAACAGAAAGTTGGTATGTGGTAAACAAACCCTAACCTTAATTATATAGAAAAATAGTAATACCACTTCTTCATTTCTACTGATATTAGTTAAAATCTTACAATTTCTGTGTTTATATAACGATTCTTACAACGAAGCCTACCTAAACTGTAAGTTAAGCTATGTAATACTCTTCTAATTCCTCTGGCTGCAGGAAAGCTCCTATAAATCAATATAATATGCATATATTATAGCCCACAATCTAATTTTAAGGTGCTCTTTATTGTTGTCTGTTGTATTAAAGGTATTAAGTGTTTGTTTTTTGCTTATACAGCCCAATATCTCAGAATCAGAATATATTATTGAAAGCCAGTTTGGTCTAGTGGTTAAGGCACCAGGCCAGAAAGCAGGAGACTGTGAGTTCTAGTCCCGCCTTAGGCATGAAAGTCGGCTGGGTGACC